CTGTAGCATTGCAGCACAGGCGGAGTGGAGGGCAAACCCTTCCATCTGAAATGCCGTAATGATAGAAACCATTCACACACACATCTTTTAACGGCAGCAAAAACAGTTTTGTCTCCGAAATAGATGCTGTCTAGCACCAACATAAAAGGAAAGGATTGTGTGCGGTAAATAGCTTCAAAGGTCAAGTTAACAGATTTTGCTCATTTACATGAAGACAGACAAAAGAAGCAAACATTTGAGCAACTGTGGGTGCCTTTTATTTATTATATGAAACAACAATCTAATACAGATATTAATTACAGAGCATTTGCCATACTAGAATCGTCTTGTTGCTAAGATATCAGATGAAGCATCTTGCGTATATTCATCTTTATTAATAAAATGTAAATGTCAAATTATTGTTTTCTTTTGTTGATTAATCCTGCCTTCCTCTCCAAGAAGCTCAGGGTGGTAAACTACAAAAAAGCAACACAAAATATAAATAAAAATATAAAATATTCCCCCAGCTAAAAAAGTTCAAGGTTTTCATAGTGAGCTAGCACCTTTTGCTGATAAAATATTATTCATCAATATTTATAATGTGTTTATTATGTTATACATATGTTGTGTATATTTGTAATAAAAATGTTCAAAAAGGAAAGAAAATACAGTGGTACCTTGGTTTACAACCATAATCCATTCTGGAGGTCTGTTTGTAAACCAAAACAGGTTGTAACCCAAGGCGCACTTTCACCAATGGGGCCTCCAAAAAAATTTTGTTCATAATCCAAAAAAAAAATGGGCTGTAATCCAAAAAAAGGTTGCAAACGGGGGGACATACTTCCGGGTCTGATGTGTCTGTAATCCGAAACGTATGCAAACCAAGGTACCACTGTAGTTCCATCTCCCTCTTTGTGCAACTATTAGGCTTGGGGAAGGACTCCCACTGGTTCAGAGGTAAGGAAGAGTCTACACAGGCAGCCCAGGCTGGTAATTTCCCCAAACTTGATAAAAATAAAACCACACTAGTAGATTTTAAAAATAGGACAGAAGTACTATCAATAAAACTATATAGCCTAAACTCTCATGATTCATCACAATTTAGAATTGTCTCAACTTAAAATCTCTTCTTTGTTTTGAACAAAGTGCTAAATAATAAACCATTTTATGGAATGTCAATAACATAAATAATATAATTGTTATTATCCCCCCCCCCAAAAAAAACCCTAAACATTTATCATGTGGCATCATTCAGAAACAAATTGGATTAGTACTGGAAATGAAGACGTTTGAGGTGAGCCACATTCTTACGACAAATCATGGAATTATGCAACCCTATGGCATTAAATTTATTTGTTTTCTCAACAACCAGACTTCCAATTTTAGCATCTTTATGCAGTATTTCAGACTTCCTTCCTGATGGTTGGGTGCATAAATAAAAACAATTGTAACTTGTTGCTAAAGCCCAATTCAGCTGAGAGAGTTGTGTCAAAAGATATAAATGATACCAATTCCGTTAGCATCGCAATCCTCAGACTTGATCAAAAGGCTGAACAAACAATGAAGCCTTAGAGCACTTTGAATCATCAAAAGAACAAGCACGGCTTCATTCTGCTCTAATCCTATTAGTGGAGGCTCCATCAGAAAGTCTTTTCCTCAGCTCAAAATTAAGGTTCTGGAACATTGTTCCAAACACGTTACTCTTCACCCTTAAGTTTTGTTTGTTTCTTTTGCCAGTAAAACTTTTTGAAAGCAAAGCCAGTTCTTGAGAGAGTTTTAAATTGCCATTACTTCATTGGGCTGGTTTGCCTGATAGAAAGTCGAACTATGGTTTGGGACGAAGCTTCTCTTTGGGAGCCCACACATTGGCCTGGTCTGGATAAGCCTTAGTTTGGTTTACTGTGTCATGCAAACTAGGTCTTTGACTTTTCTATTGAGAAACTTTTCCTTGTTGTTGTTGTTACATGCAAAGGGTGATAACCAAATAAGTCATATTTAGTAGTGCATTTATTTTCAATAGGTCTACTCTGATAATGACTTAATGTTGGGTCCCACCCACAGTGAATGATTATTTGTTATGTTAGTGCTGCTCTGTCACAAAAGAGGGTGAATTCGAAACTTTCTACGAATCCAGGTGATGAAGAACTACTATTTTCAATTTTATTGTTACAAAATACTGTGCTTGCAAGATTATATTCTTACTAAACTTTTAGTAAAACAGATGACTAGTAAATCTGCGGGATACATTTGCTGCTATAGTTGATAGTATTCTGTTACATGTAGTTGGGTAATAGACTGCACTTTTTCTTTTAGAGTGATGTTTTAGAGTAGTGTGGCAAACACAGTTGGGATCTCTAGGTGTTATATTACATGAAAAGTTCATTTCGGTAGTTTTAAGTTGCTTTGGTTCCATTCATTATTAACTGTTTTCAGTTTATACCGAGTGTAAATTCCTTAACCGTTACCTTAAGTATAAAATTGCACTGGATTCTGATGCTCCGGAGTATGCAGGACATAACAGACTGGACCATAATACAGAATTCTTCTCACAGGAGTATGGACATAACTGTCGGCCTAATTCTCTTTTGGTAAGTACATTTTTTTCTACTTCACTTCTGCAAAGGTATGTCTGCAGTGATAGTTAACATTTTAAATTCCCTATTAAAAACCTGCATTATGCCTTTTGTCTCTGAAATATGACTACTGAAGTTTGCATGAAAATCTTAAGATTAAACTAAAGGTCATTAGTGACTTGGGCCAACTGATAGTTGGACAATAATGTTCCCCAATATCCTATATCAAGTATAACTGAACAAGATACAACAGTTATCTGAAATAACTAAGCATGAAACCATTTTAGTGTGCATTTTCTTTCTCATGCTGTTTAATTCTGAATTGTCGCATTTTCATGTCTCAGTAGCTTGCATGTTTTCCTATTTGCTTTTACATATAAACTTTGAATTTTGCTCTGTGTGTGTTTGAGTCTGGCTGCATGAACAGGCCTCAACATCCTAATTTTTCCAGTAGTGACTTAGGGAACCCCCTAAACAAGGAATAACAAATTACTAGTTTGACAATTCTTCAAAGTTCTGTAGATACATATGCTTTTTTTCCCCTTAGGGTTCCGTGAATTATTTTCACTTTCGGTTATACTTAGCAATGTCTAAACCATACCTCTCTTTTTTTCCCTTGGTGACCTAAAAACATGATAGTATGTGGGGAGAATATTTTTGCTCCTTTGATTCATTGGCTTACACACAATGATAGTCCTACTTAGAGTAGACCCAATAGACAGCTGATTTAGGTCCATTAAATTCAGAACATCTACTCTGAGTTGGATACAAGTCATTGTTTCAGTTCTATTTTACATTTATAACCATATCCCATTACCCTGATACACTTTATTTCTTACAAATTATCAGTTCACTATATTGGCTATACTTTAATACTGTGATCCAAAGAGGTATGTGAATAGTCTCTTTACATGCTTGCATTTTTTTGTAGATCATTCTTTTGAGTTCTTCCAGTACACTTGGACTCATCTCTAAATTTACTTACGCATTTACATTATATATGGGCATTTTACCATCTTTACTTTTCTTAGCAACTTGCTGAAGAAAATGGTTACATCACTAGAAATTTGAAGCCCTTCTCACAAATATTAGTATAATGGGTGCATCCATTCCAGACTTGCAGGCCTTACAGGATAAGACAGCTGACCACATTCCTGGCTCATAGTTCAGTTTGGGTATGCACCAACCAGACCTTAGTTTGGTTTGGTTTGGACCTTAGTTTGGTGCTTCAGAAACAGCCTGATTCAGAGGCTGCCCCTTTTTGGAATAAACAAATTGTCATGCCTTTCCATACACTAGCTAGTATTTGGGGGGGGGGAGTGGTTGCAGGGAGGAGGTTTGACAGACATTGATGAAATTTGAAGGCATAACTTTGTTAAGCCAAGCAAACAGTGAATGTGTACAGATTCTTATTTTGAATTTAAAGCTATATTAGAACTTTTCAGAGAAATTGCATTTGATTCATATTGCATCTAACCATTTCAACATAGGCAAATTTGTATTCTGAAGCTTTGTGGCATCACTAATTAGTGTCCCCCAACCCCATTCTGTATGGACTAGAGGTGTAACTCTGCCAATATCAAGTTGTTTATCCTACAATTACCATACCATGTTAAGCGTTATAACCTTTGTTAATAAAATCCCTAAATTGTTTCTAACTTAATTTTTCTTTCTCTTTGAGGAAATAGGAAGTTTTGGTTACCCAAGTTTTGTACTGCTTTAAACCTTTAAAACATCGTGAATGGTTAGTTTACGATTTCTGGAAGAAATGTATATTTATTCTGCTGCTACATTTTGCATTCAGTGGAAAATTAAGTATCGATTTCACACACACAACAGAAGCCAAAGCAACAAAATACTATGTTTTGGTCAAAAATCAAATTGAATCCCAAGAAACAACACAATAATACCATTATCCCATTTCCCCTTCCACTACTCTAGCAGTAAACATTAACACAGCTAACAGTGTAAGACAATAATTGTGTGTCTTATTAACCATACCTTACTTCCAAGTTGGCATGAATATTGGCGATGCATAGTAGAAAATAAACATGCCCAGGGGCTAAAACTATGGTTAAGAAGGATCTTGGCAAGTGCATGTGAAATAAAGCATGTAGGGTGGGCAAGGAGATGGGAGCCAAGTAATGAATGAACTAATATAGTTTTGAAGTAGCTGCAGGTTGTGGCATGGCAAGTGCACTACTATGTTAGTTACAAAGCCCAAAAGTTTGGGTCACACTTCTCCTTTATATCCTTCAGCAACCCAATTCACTGAGTGCAAGTGATCGCCAGCCCCGAGGACAACAGCACACATACTACCTGGAGGTAAAGTTGCAGATAAAAGTGTGCCAGCCAAAACTGTAGCACTTCCCTCCCCCTCCGAAGGGCAGGATCCTCTTCTTCTGTGCCTGGAGCCAATTTAATTTTAATCCCCACCCCACCACCATAGGACCATAGATCAATTGTAGAGCATCTGCTTTGCATGCAGAAGGTGCCAGGTTTAGTCCCTGGTATCTCCAGGTCATGCTGGCAAAAGCCCTATCTGTCTGAAATCCTGGAAGGCCACAGCTAATCATGGTAGACAATACTGAGCCAGAGGGAACAGTGGTCTGACAGAGTATATGGGAGCTTCTAGCACAGCAGGCCATGTATTGTGCATCTGAACTTACAGAAACAAATGTTGATATTTCTGTAAGCTATAGACTGTACAGTGGTTTGCTAAAAATAACACTTTTGTTCCATGTTTGTGAGCTGAAGGAGCCTTGATCAGCTGACAAGCAGACCTCAAAATTCTGTTCATTTCTCTCCCCCCCCCCCCTTATCACAGCTCATGCTATTCAGAACAATTCCATCCAGCAGCAATGGTGTACAAGCAGAGCTCTACACACCATTTTCTGGAATCTGCCCATTCACAAATCAGCAGCAACTAAAAAGGGGGAAAGGTGGATCACACAGTTCTTTAGAGCAGTGTTTCCCAACCTTGGGCCTCCAGCTGTTTTCGAACTACAATTCCCATCATCCCTGACCACTGGTCTTGCTAGGTGAGGATTATGGAAGTTGTAGTCCAAAAACATCTGGAGGCCCAAGGTTGGGAAATGCTGCTTTAGAGAATCCAGGAACCAACTAGTATATCTTAAGCCATGTTTGTGTATTACTTATGTACTGGGTGTTATTGTAATTACTTTGGAGCAAGGACAGTTCCTCAAACACACTCCTGGTCACGTGTAGGGGGGCCATGCAATTGGGACATTGAGTTATGTGGGTGCCCCAGTTGCACAGAGCCCCTACATGTGAATAGAAGCACACTTCTGCTTTAGACAACTGTGGCAACTGACAGTTGTTTGAGGAAGGTGATGTGATGTCAGAGACTGGACTAAAAGTACAGTCCCACTCCAAGTAAGCAATATCTACAGATGAGTAATACATGAATGGGGGAAAGAGTCATTTCCATTCTCATAATATCAAAGTTGAAGAGAGCAGGGGAGCTTGCTTGTTTCTGGTTCCTGGCCAAAAATGGGCCTTCATTTCCTGGAACTACCTGCAAAATCCAGACCACAGTATGCATCACCAGTGGAGAGGACATGCATAGCAGAAAGATGTAAGCTGAGCAAACAGCTCCTATTTTGAGACATGCAGGTGATCTAAAATACATGTTTCATTGGAAGCTCCCATGGTGTATAATCAGCAATGGTGGGGATTCTGCTGCAAATCCCAAATATTTTATATAATTCCAGCAGTAAGTACATTCTGTCTCTAGTTGAGGGCAGTACCTGTAGCCCCAAGGAGATGGAAGAACAATGCAGAACCAAACTTATGTAATTCTGTTAGAAGTGATTTTTAATGGCTATGCACTTTAGCTAAGGCTGCCAAGATCCATTCGCTTGAAGCACTTAGGTGTTTCCATGCACCAGAAGAAAAGCAACATCAACAAGCCCACATAAAATGCCAAGTACAAATTTGCAAGAGTGTATTTGTGATCCAAATAGCATCTGTGGTGGGATAAGGCTACTTTAATTTTGTCCGAGGGAAAAGCAGGAGGAGAGTGTCCTGTGAAAAATACGTGAGAAAAAGCAAGTGATAAATTGAAGTTGTAAGGTTCATTACACTGAGAAGTTGCTTACTTCAGTTACGGTAATGGCATATGGGCAGACACGCAGTCTGTTATACAGGAACAGGTTTTAAAGCTATTAACAGTTTTAAAATCCAACAAGGCTAGCTGGGATTCAGATACATGTTAATTATCCAAACGCCTCATTTCTCCACTCATCACTAATCCAAATAATATTTTCCTTGCTATTTTTGCTTCCTTCCTGACTTATCTCTTTCAAGGTCGTTCATCATTACTTCAGTACTTACAACCAAATGGTACTCATTTGCTAACTGTTTTTAATTATGTAAGGGGTGACCTTTTTGATAAACGTGTTTTTATTTGCCAATTCCTTAACTCAAGATAAACCCTACTTTTCTTCCTTTTTGTTACCTGCGATATAAATGGAGGGTGGTGCTGTAGGTAGTTTATTGTGTACTTCTACATAAGAACATCAGGCGAGATGGCTGGATCATCTAGTCCAATGTCCTGTTCTCACAGTGCTCAACTAGATGCCTGTAGGAAACTACAACTGGACATGAGCACAACAGCACTTTGTCTATACTGCTAATACGTTTTGTGGAGCCCTGTAATCATTCAGAGGTATCACTCAGCTATGAGTGATTGCCACAGAAGAAGAAGAATCATGTTCCACAAACTATGTTAAAAAATTGGAAAAAATACAGAGAGCTGCAGATACAATGTCAAGTTTTGTTCAATTGCTTTTATTTTTCCTTAAAAAAATAATAATGCACATGTTTCTTGTAGTCCAGTGAGTTGGCTCCAAAGACTGTTCCTTTCCTTTTATGGAAGGAGTCTTCTTATTATGTAAGAAGTATGTATTTGAATCCAGTGAGGAGCTTTATAAATAAGAAGTCAGCAAGTGTGGAGGGACTGATCTTTAGTAGGTATTGAAAGTATATGGCACAGTTCTACCGCTGAAGTTGAACAGCTCAACAGTGCAAGCCTCTAAATGTCTACTCAGAATTAAGTCCTCCAGGTAAGTGCTTGTAATCCTAGGCAAGTAAGCCACAAGGACAGGAGATACCTTGTAACATTTATATAAGCCATTCTTGACTTTTTTGAGAAAGACCGGTACAACAAAGTAGCAAATATCCACTTTTCAGAGGTGATAAGTATATGCTGACCATTTTGTATTTCCATATTTTCCATGGATTCATGGCATGCATTCATTAGTTGATAGTTTCTGTGCATTATTCTGTGGCAGCCACTCATTTAGCTGTATTTTTATTTTCACCTCTTTTTTCCCACCTGTTCTAATGCACAAATTAATGTGGTCATTTATTTACATTAAATCAGGTACTTTTCAGAACAAATGCTTGCTGTTTTGTACATTTCATTGCACACCCAACGGAATGTTCATGCCGTTAGTTTGATGTGGCAGGCCACACTTTGAATGAGTGGCTAAGTGTTTGGAGGAGCTGTGTTTTTCACTAATTTCTTTGTCTTCCTGGAGGATGGCATGTTGAATCTATCAGAACGGTCTGCTCCCAGAGGCTAATGGAATCTGATAAGATACTTGAGTGCCCTTAGGGAGTTTCCACTTTACGCAGCTGTCCTGTCAGAGCTCTAATCTCTCTGTGGAACGCTGAGATGACTCAGGCACTTGACACGATCATAACTAAGTGCCCTCACCCAGAGTGCAGATCCAGTTAGCTCCCTGTTTTATCAGACATCTGAGGGGAATGGAGCAGGATGGGAGATGAGCAGTGATGGTAGTGAAGAAACTTATCCACCAGCCATGGAGTGTTACCCAGTCAGTCACAAATGTCGCCTTCTTGAGTAAAGTATAGCTGAGAGTGTTTTCTGTGCACTTCCTTTTGGGTAAGACGTTATCTATACCTGTTTCAATCCAGTTTTAGGCCTGGTTTTGGCACAGAAGCTGCCTTTCTGCTTTAATGAAAGACAGGTGGAATGTAACCCTGATAGTTGTTATCTTGGACCTTTCAGTGGCCTTCAGCCACGGCATCTTTTTTGGACTAGTTTTGTGAACATGGCATTTGAGGCACAGAGGTAAGCTAATTCCACTCCTGCCCGAAGTGCCATTTCCAGAAGGTGTTATTGAGAGACAACAGCACAATCCCTGCAGAGTCTTGCTGCCAAGGAGTGTGGTGGAGTCTCCTTCTTTGGAGGTCTTTAAGCAGAGGCTTGACAACCATATGTCAAGAGTGCTCTGATGGTGTTTCCTGCTTGGCAGGGGGTTGGACTCGATGGCCCTTGTGGTCTCTTCCAACTCTATGATTCTATGATTCTATGATCTAGTGCCCTGTACCTTTCAGCGTCTACATGAACCAACTGAAAGAGGATTTTGGCGTGAATTGCCACCAATATGCTATTACCCATGTGTTATAGGTGAGACAGCGGATATTCTGAATTGATACTTGGCGTTGGCAATGGTTTGGGTAAGAGCCAACAAAAAGCTCAGTTCTGACAGTGCAAGGGTTCTGTGGATGTTGGTTCTTCTGCTTCGGGAGAAAGTTTTCAACCTTTGTTGTATTTTATTGTCTTTGTGCGCTGGAAACTGACAAGGAGTCAGCAATGAAGGATGCTACATCAGTCTTCTGAATAGAATGTTTTCCATCCTAGGAATAAAAGGGAAGTGAATGTCTGGGGCAGATATTATGTCCAGATACTGTCAGAAGCATAAGTGCTGTTTAAAAAAATAGGGCTAGGTTAGAACAATTGAAGCTAATTGAAATATAGGGCCCTTAACAGGCATCTTGTCTAAATATACTTTCTCACAGACCTCTTTACGGATATACTGAGCCCATTTGGTACAGCAACTAAAGTGGTAGTTTGGGGGTTAACAATTATGATTCTGTTCCTTCCCAGTTAATTTGAGTGGTGTTGGGCAAGTCATTAAGTCTTATCTAACCTACCTCACCACGCAAGTTCTTTGCTTGACCAAAATCAAATGGCTATAAAGAAATACAGTATACAAATGGGTTTTTTAAAAAAAGAAGAATCAGTAGGAAAATTATGAAAATGCATGTTTCTTGCGTGTAAATTCATCCCTCATGACAGTAATACATACATTTTTTCCCCCTTTGTGTGAAAACTGTTCAGGAAAATTGTCATGTGAAAGAAGCCCAACTAATTCATGGTATGCAAGTCTTCAGCAGCACTTCTTAATATAAGCGACTAAGCTGTGTAATCCCTTAATGGAAGAAAGAGAGTTTGTCCTTGGAGACTAATATTTCCAGAGAATCAATATTTGGGATTCAAAGATCTGGTTCGTAATAGAGCATTGACAAAATTATCAAATCGCTGTGAGGAGTCCTTTGGATCCAACCCATTAGTTTTCTGACAAGGATTTATATATTGACTTTGGAGGATGTAATATAGGCTTCTTCTTTTTTTAGTTTGCCTTTTTAAATAGACATTTGCATAGACCAAGGGTTTGTAACTAGA